CAATTCCGAGTCGTGATATTGAACCACACAAGCCCTCATTTAGCCCTGATTTTTAGCTGCATTGCATGCAAACGAAGTTCGGACTGTTTCGCTACGAGTAGCCAAATTGGGCAGGCCTGGCTAGAAAAAGTGTTCCTCGTGTTCGTTTTGGTCCCCCAGTCACTCATGAAAATCAGTTGAATGCGTCGAGTTTAGTGGCTTTCCTCTGATGAATCGGGGCTGGGGTAATAGGTAGTTTCGCTATTGAGAAGTGCTCTGTTGGGTTAATTACTAATTTGGCTAATTTAACACTTTCTATGCTAACCCTCATTGGCCCTATTTTTTATCTACTTATCAGCTTCCAATGGAGAGGCTATTAATTAGGCAATCAAGAGGTTATTTTGCGAGACTTTGTGTGAGCTGTATGTGTATTTTTGGGGTCAATTTTACTTCGTGAAAACAAAAGAGCAATTGACCTGTTTCATTCCTTGCGTTTTACGTATTTTTATTGAATGGCTTTGAAAATTGATGTTTCTACCAACAAGTAGACTCTTACAAGCCTGTCAGTACGTTGATATTATCGACAATATACACATAGTTAGTCATCTTCCATAACATCTTTTACATTTTTTTGAGTCTTTAATACCGATTCCATAATTCTCCCGGTTTCAAGATACCGCTTCAGCAAATCTAGCGTTTTGCCTTTTTGTTTTGCTTCCACTTTAATTTTTAATTTAAATCCTGATTACCTGACACTCGATTGCGCAATGGCTGATTTCGTCTTTAATTAGTTTTTGTTGAGTCTGACCACAATACTGAGTCATTTTGTTTCCCTTCAAGCAAAAACTTTTGAATAGTAGAATGATAAAATGGGTCAAACATTTGGCAATTTCCGATGTTAATTCTAGCTGCGAGTATTCGCGCATAAACAAGCATTACGCCTAAGTACTCAAATGCACTTGGGATGATATCCTGCGATGACGTATTTTGTACAATCTAATTTGTATGGTCATAAATAATTTTTTCTTACTTAAATGCTCACTTTATTAGTGGTGGGAATATGGCTATGTTTACACTACCTATCAGTTGCTCAAGGAGTGCATAAATATTCTGTCACGACGACTAGAAGTGTGGCCTTATCATGGAAAGTCATGATTAAAACACATGGGAATTTGTTTTAATGAGTCAATTACAGGGCGTTCGACTTATTTGGCCCAAACTACGACATTTAAATTCTATTTACAACGTAGTGGAAAAGCCCAAATTGCTTGCACTTACCTAGTACACACATACTTTTAGGACACCTATAGTGCGTAAATTATTGAGAAAATCTTGGGATATGCCAGCATTTTCTCACCTTTTTTCAGTCTTCAAGTACGAAGCAGAAGTGTGGAGTTTAGATAACTATAATCGAATCTCAATGGTTGTTTGTGAGTAGTAAACTTTAGTTGAAATTCTGAGGGCGAGTGTAAAGTGTGACTTGGCGTGGCTTAGGTGTGAAAAACACGTCAAAATTGAGTGCTCATGCCCTCGTGCGGTGAGGTTTGCAAGGCAAAACACTGCAACAGTGCAAGCAAGTACAAAAGTCCCTTGGCGTTAAACATGAGCGGCGTCTGTGCGTCTGCAGGCGGCTGGTTAATGGGGACCAAAAGCAAACGTTTGGCTCTTCTGAGCCCCGAAAATCAGCCTCTTGAGCAGAGCGGTGTTTCGTATCGCAAGAACCATCTGTTTAAGGTAATTGACTCACTATACTTTCGGGAAGTTGGCTTCACGTTACTCCCTTCCCTCCTCCTCCTCCTGGTCTGTTAACGGACTCCTAAATAGGGGGATAGTACAACACTAAACACATCAAAAAAGGTATTTTTGATTGGAATATCAGTAACTCCTAACACCTGCCAGGCGCCACGGTAAAAGGCCACAGAGATTAGCGCACAGTCGCCCCAATCGTTACTGACAGGTATGCCATAGAGGGCCTAATTAATGAGAAGCACACAAAACCACCGACCGGTTTTCTGGTGTTCCATGCAATTCAGGACACTTTTAGTCGAAATTAATTCATCAAAACAGATGTAATCAGTTAGTGTCTGTCTGGCGAACAAAATTAACACACGATTTTCTCGTAATGGTAGCCGGAAACGAATCAAATAGACAGGCAGCACAAGCAATGTGCCATCTGTACATGCTTTTAATAAAATTACGCCTAGTTCTAGGTGTGTGAGTTGATAGCTTGGTTTTTAACTGCCCACAAATGTTCTGAGTGCCTTTGTGAGCTTATGAGTTTGGTAGTTTAATGACAGTGGATAACACAGCCAGTATTGTTTTTTTTTTCAGAGTAGCAGTAAGTTACTAGCATGTGCAGGGTTAAATTTTGTAGTGAAAAATGCGACACTCCGGGTGTTAAGTCTGTTCAGTCGAGAAAAGCCCTTTCTTGGCACGCGAAATGCCAATCAACTGTTCCCATGTTCAGGCGCGAAAAAGCACTTACATATTTGAGCAGTTGTTTGGTTGCTGCCCCTTTTACGCGTATTTCAGATGTTTCGGGCATTTCTGTCTCATGTGACTCACACCCGGGACATTTGTTATTTTTAGCCCTGAATTCATTTTCCTCAAAATCCTCCTTTAAGTTGGGTGAGCAGTAAAACCCACGCCTCTAGCAGTGCGCACAAGCGCCTTCCCAACTCCCCACAACCAAATCAAGATGCTGACGGTGTGCCACGCCACGGGTGAAAGAGACCACATCGGACGACCCAATTTCTACATTGCTAGTTCAAGAGAGAGATGTCTTAAAAGACAGCACGAAGCCTTAGCGGTGAATAGGATCTTGCTTCAAACATCTTTTGCAAATTCAATGACAGAACCCTCTATTTACAAGTCTATTTGGCCGACGAATTATCGCATTGCATTCCCACTTTTCAACTTGTGCCACCAAACTCGGTTCAAGTTTTTCTGGGGACTACGCAGAATTAAAAGTCCACGTCTCCCGTGGCCACTTTTGTGGACTTGAGCATGGGTGCTGGCGACAAGAAGACAAACATTTCAAGGCTGCTTTGTTCAGAACACACTGCAAACGCTAATAATTTCACTAAAACACAAGGCCAACTCACTGCTCCATTCAGAAGTCGAGTTCTGATAGCACCACAGCTAAAGATATTTCCCCTAATTTGTTATTTGTTCCTGGATTTTTGGACGGATTAAAGCCACATTCTGGGGAACACGTGGAATTCGTGATAAAATCAATATGAATATACGCAAGTCCGTTTGTGGTGATGCTAAAAGTTTGTGAAGCTCGGTATGGAAGTATTCAACACGCTGGCGGTTGTTGTGTGACCAAAATAATAAGCAAAAAAGCCATTTAAACCGACTCTACGATTCGTTTTAACTTGCCAAACACATGTACGTCCTGACTACTTGCAGTTTTAGTTGAATGCGATATATTCGTGCGTGTGACATCATGAGGACCAGTGTCATTTGACGAAACAAGTGCGGTTTTTTGGAAACAAAGACAGCTTCTTGAAGACTACTCAAATAGAATTTTTTTCCAAGTTCCAGTTTGGAACGACAGAAAGCCGACTAACATTTTTCATGAAATTGGATCAAAACAGACACGCGTGTTCATTGGTGCGATTCCACACTCGCACCCAACCCAAGTTACGAAATAGACCTGGTAGCAGTCACATGCTTACACGGACGAGGCAATTTCGACCGATGCTTCCGACGATTAGGTACTTAGACCTCATATAAACAAATCCCATCGTGTTCCTCTGTAGAGGTACTATCACCTCCGAATTGGTTATGTCCTGCATTTCATCTTGCAAATATTTTTTAAGAAATCATAGGAAAAAAAGTAAATTCCAAGGTACAAGTGCACGTAATGAGAATGGAAATAATGTCCAATTAACCGTTTACAACTTCCTAGATTGATAAACTCACTACGAACGGAATATTATTAAGTGCATAAATGCAGATAATGCCAAGATTATACTCAATTAATGTTTCAATGCCCCGGTCACTTAGTCCACAGATAAAGCCTCTTTGGTACATTTTTACGTAAATGCAAACTCGTAGGTAAATGAAAGTCGGGAACCAAGTCAAAATTACCTGCTTTTCTAACTTCACAGGCGCAAAAGGGCACTTGCCGTTGACTTGTAGTAAATTAGCTCCCTGTAAAAGAAAACCCTTTTTTAGGTAATTGTTCCCTTACATCTGATTGGTCCACCGTCTCGCGGTTGCTCTAGTCCATTGGATGAGTCCACGTCACTCCGAATTTCTCATTGGTTGAACCAGCGAATAGTATAGAACCAGTAAATCTAATTATTTGTGATAGGATGTTCTCACAATTGGTCTGGCCTACTCCTCAGACTTGATGCTGATTCGGTAACTAAAGTGTGTTGTTATTGAGCTGTTATTCCATCCCAAGGCTTCAATTACAATTTTTCGTCTTAACAACCAACTGTCTCCAAGTTCTACACATAGAATCCGTTTTTTCACATGTTCAAATAGTTTGGTGTGTTGTCGAGTTTCAGTTAGACAACGAAACGTGACATGGAAGGCAAACCAAACTGATGACGAATCGACCAATCATTGATCTCTCGTTTTACCAACTCCCACAGATTGTGTAGTGAAAGTTCATATTTACAAAGGTTTCCTACTACAGCTATAGTCTGTTCATGACCAGATAGGACTGATGCCGCAAATTCCGTGGGAACAGTATTCTCTGGATTGCCAATTTAAGCCTGGCTATCCCGTAAAATATTGTGCTTCTGTCACACTTTTTAGTCTCCTAAATCTCCGATCCTGCGAAGCCTTTGATGATTCACACAGGTTGTGCGGTGGGTTTTACCGGGATCGTGTCAGCGATCCTCCACCTGTACATTTCGCCTAGTGCCACATCCCAATCTGACTGCTGAAATTCCACTGAAATCAGGTTCATCTGTAAGCACAGAAATAAGTAATTTCCAGGCCACATTTCTGCCTTGGGAATGTGCTTCGGGTAAACGGGAAATACATGGCCATAAATGCCACAATGTGCGAAATAGTTTAACCTTTGAGACACAGGACTTTAATCATCACACCCATTGGCAAATGTCCGATTTTCCGATGGCTTTCAGCCTCAGAGAGTGACAAGGGCAGTGTTGATGAGGGATCACATCGGGGTCACCAATTGGTGAGGGCGCTGACATGTAGTCTCAAGCCACGCCGGGGCCACTGCGTTGAACCTAGCCGGCCTACGCCTTACTGATACCCACGAAGGTGATGAGAAGACCAGAGAATGACGTCTCAGCCGAGTTGTGTGTGTATGTGCGTGTGTGTGTCGTATATGTGTAATACAATTCAGGTGAGCTAGTTAACGCACACGTGTTTGAATGGTCAGATGACTAAAGCGGGCTTGAGTGGTTCAGGCCCTGGGATGAATGAGCAGACGGCCCCGCGTGGTTGGCGGGCACGTCGTGAAAAGAGGGACAGTGTGTCTGAGAATGGGCGTTATTCGACACGAGTCACAACGACAGCAAGCCGTCGTCGGCTTCAAAGAAGTATACTTCGGCTCTCTTTATCCTCACTATGGTACTTCAACTGGTTAATACGCCTCTGCAACATGAAATGACTTTCAAGTGGACGTTTTTTAATTGAACATGTGTCGAAGGCTCCTGATGTGGATCTCGCGCTCACACCGATCTTATTCAACATCAAGTATCCGGAATAGAATGAGTGGGTTGGAGGTGAAGGAGGCTCTATAGTTTGCTGTGATTCGTGTTTATTCACAGCCCTTAATCCGGTCGCTCCACTTCCGACACAGAGTTGTCCTTTGCACAGCATGTCGCCAGCCGCGGGGATCCTCAACTCCCTCTCATTCCCACGACCATTCAACTTAGATTGTCCTCCCACCTAGCGCATCTGTGACTCACGAATCTGATGCGTAAATACACACGCACAAACCCCACACACGACACCAACTTGGTTGGGCTCTGAAGTAAACAGTTGTGTCCACGTTCTCTCCGGTCTTTTTCTTCACCGCGGATATCAGAGAAGCGTAATCGGGAGAGGGTTAATTCAGTGGCCCCGGCGTGGTTCAAGACCACATGCTGGGGCCCACAACAAGCTCATTGGATCGTGAGCAGCAAGGTGTGTAAGTCATTGGATTGGCGGGGTTCAGGCAAGAGTAGTCCAAGGGGAACACTGGACTTCAGGGGCCGATCCAAGTGGGTCAGTACAGGCAACAGGTCATACATCCCGAAGTAACAAGATTCACTGCATATCTCGGGAATGTGTGGTTCCTGTAGACCTATTTAAGCCCTGTAATCTCTCTGCCTTGTCCAAATTCCAAATTGTATTGTGTAGATCGGTTGATTTGTGTTCCCCGTGAACAATAACTCATCGCTGAATGGAATGTGCTTCTTACCAAGTCCCTGTGAGTAAAATGGTTTGGCGGTGAGCCAGATTACTCGTTTTACCTAAGCATTATCAGGAACTATTCCGACCGCAAAGACAACCGACTTTGCAAACCTTTATCGCCCAGTTAGGTTTATCGCTTGAAGTGCGCAATCCACCACACGATACGTGACTGGAGTTTTAGTGCTTAACGCAATGAATTTTATTGCATCTGGCTTGCTTCCAGCCTCCTCCTCCACCTCCCTGTGTTAGCATTTTGATCATGTTCATCTGTAAGTTTGATCATAAATTCAGCGCTCCAAAACCCAACAATGTGGGGCATTTTATGTTGCAAAAAACAATCGGTAACTTCGTAAAAAAGGCTTAGCTGTAGCGCAATCGGGAAAATTCGCTATCTCGTGTTTCAAACATTCACCTAGGGG